GTCTTGAACATCAAGGTATTGTGTGTCGAACATCAAGGTACTGTTTGTCTTGAACATCAAGGTATTGTGTGTGCTGAACATCAAGGTATTGTGTGCTGAACATCAAGGTACTGTCTTGAACATCAAGGTGTTGTGTGTCTTGAACATCAAGGTATTGTGTGTCGAACATCAAGGTACTGTTTGTCTTGAACATCAAGGTATTGTGTGTGCTGAACATCAAGGTATTGTGTGCTGGACATCAAGGTACTGTCTTGAACATCAAGGTGTTGTCTTGAACATCAAGGTAGTGTGTCTTGAACATCAAGGTAGTGTGTACTGAACATCAAGGTATTGTGTGTGCTGAACATCAAGGTACTGTCTTGAACATCTAGGTGTTGTGTCTTGAACATCAAGGTAGTGTGTTGAACATCAAGGTAGTGTGTCTTGAACATTAAGGTACTGTGTGTCTTGAACATCAAGGTACTGTGTCATGAACATAAAAGTAGTCTTGAACATCAAGATACTGTCTTAAACATCAAGGTGGTGTGTCTTGAACATCAAGGTACTGTGTGTCTTGAACATCAAGGTAGTGTGCGTTGAACATTAAGGTACTGTGTGTCTTGAACATTAAGGTACTGTGTCATGAACATAAAAGTACTGTCTTGAACATCAAGGTACTGTGTCTTAAACATCAAGGTGGTGTGTGCTGAACATCAAGATACTGTGTGTCTTGAACATCAAGGTGGTGTGTGTTGAACATCAAGTGGTGTGTGTGTTGAACATCAAGGTACTGTGTGTGTGTTGAACATCAAGGTACTGGGTTAGACCGAGCGTCTGAGTGGTAATGAGGTGGATTTAGCTAACAATGATACAGTACTGAGATTAGAAGATATAACGACAACACTTACTCGGAGTGTTAATTACTGTATACCTAGAGAGGGTTTCGGGGGTCAATGCCCCCGCGGCCCGGTCTGTGACCAGGCTTACAAAATTATACAGGAACTTGCAGTACCAACTACCCGTCCCCCACCCCCTCCCTTCTTAAAGACTTTACTATTCTCTCCCTTAAAACCCTTCTTAAAGACGTAACTAACCTCCCCCCCCCTCCTTTAAAACAGAAATCCCTCCCCCTTCCTTAACTAAACCCTTAATTACGTCAATGGCAATAGTATTAAAATTATATCACACATTTATTAAATAAAAACACTTACCTGAGTCAAGGGACCAGGAAACAATAAAGCAGCACTTACAACACGAGACACTCGTGGTCAACCAGGCTGTTGCTGCTAGTGACCAGCACGCTCATATTAAGTCTCTCTATTATGTAATTAATTATGCTATAGTATATTAAAAATTATTATTATTATTAAATTATTATTATTGATCAGCATCTAGCTAGGCCTCTTTGAAAGTCGACAAATAAGTAAACCAACGTAACAAATGTCTAAAAATATCTGCAAATTGGATAATAGCTTCCACTAATTACACCCCATAACTACTAATTAAACTAACGAATGACCTCACAGCTGAGAGTGTAATTGGCTTGCAAATTGGCGCCGAGAGTAATAGGTACCATTAGTAATTGCAAGGAATTGGGTCAAGCCTATCAGCGGAGAGGGTACGGACCAGGGCCTGTCTGTCTCGGTCTGTCTGTCTCTGTCTGTCTCTGTCTGTCTGTCTCTGTCTCTCTCTTTCTCTGTGTGTGTGTGTCTCTCTCCCAGGGATGTAAGAAATTACCCGAGGAGTCTTGTAATTACACCAACTCGCCTCAGTAATTGGCTTTAAAGAACCTGTGTATCCGCAACACATACAAGGATATATACACCCAAAAGGTGTGTACCTCTCAGTGTGCATATACGCCTAAAGTTGTATATCTCTCAATTTACAGATAACAAGAGGTTTGCATCTCTCTTCTCTCTGAGAGTTGTCTCTCGATGTATATACGTCAAGTGGTGTGTATCTCTGAGTACATATACACAAAGGTGGGCATCTCTCGGTGTATATACACCAAAAACTTACATTATTCTCTCTTTTAGGGAATAAAGCATTCATGGCAGGTGGTGAACATGTTATATGTAGCGTTAATGACCCGCCGACACCAGGATGAACAGATGAGCTAAAACAGACGAACAATCTGGATGAACAAGAGGAACATGAACACTTCAAGAGGACACTACAAGCCCAAAACTCTCTACAACGTTTAAAGGACACTACAAGCTCTAGACTCTATAATATATATAAGAGGCCATGTCACGCTTGACACACCTGTTACATGTTCTAGGGTTCTGGAGGGAGTCTTGGTATGTAATCCAGGATCCGTGTATCCACGGATCCTAGTTGTGTTATCGTATTTGACGAAGGAGAGAGACAAGCTTATCAGTGATGGCATGGCAACAGCAGCAACATCGTGGCACTCAGCAGACACCTCTGCCACTTGACTCTGGCACTCACTCATCACCTCCTTCCCTCCCTACAACAAGCACACACACACCCCTCTCGTCACCCCCCCCCCACTCACAACACCCACCCCACCTCGCCACATCCATCAAATTTGACCACATACCTAAGATTTCATTATGACTTCAAGTGTTGTGTTGATTCCAGGTATTGTTTTGACGCCAAATACTGTGTTGACCCTGCGTGCTGTTTTCGAGGGATGTATTAACCCAGGTGTTGTACGCCCATTCCTCCATCCTACAGGCCAAACAAATTATATCTTTGTGCAGTTTAAAAAGTGTAGTTTACATGTAATAAAATATGTTAAGTACAAAAGAAAGTCAATAACATACTGTGTATTTCTGGCTGACTGATCCTCATGGTTACAGACTACTTAAGATCAGACACAGGTTACTGAGTGGCACAATTTTAAGTATGCATTGTTATAAAACTGCAATATATGTGTAGGTCCGTCTCTGGTAAGACAGTGATGGAGTGAATGATGATGAAAGTTTTTCTTCTTTTCTCGGGTCACCCTGCCTTGGTGGGACACGGAACAAGTTACTATTACTACTACTACTACTACTACTACTACTACTAATAATAATAATAATAATAATAATAATAATAATAATAATAATAATAATAATAATACATTACAAAAAAGAGAGGTAGCAAAAATAATACAGTTATTATCCTGAGAGATGGTAATTCCTGAGTAACAGTAACTCCAGCTCTACTGGAAGTAAAACCTTCGAAACTCTCGTAGCTGCTGAAGCTAAAGTGGAATGTTGGCTTATATTCTCATTACCCTCGTGACGTCTCCCACCTCAGGCTGACACATTCCATTCCCGTGTGGTGCAAAATGCTACGAGAAGAGTTACCTTTTGTTCCCACTATGTAATTAACGTGGAGAACAGAGAAACACTAACCAAGCCTCCAGATTCAGTCCTTTCCTCTTCAATAAGCCCCATCCTCTACCTCCTAATATACATTCCAGTTTCGGTTCACTAATCTTCTACACCTACACACAACTCTTAAGAAAAACATTAGTATAGATTTATACACATTGAAGTGTGAAAGTCGTGACAAGACAACATGTCTTGAGGACTCCTGTGTCCTCAGGGTTTATGAAATTACATCCAGGAAGCAAGTGAGCGAGGAAGAGTTAATCAATACTCTCTCTCTCTCCATCACTCCGTCACCCTCCCACACTGACCCTCACTCCCACACAAGTGTTGGCAGCAGTCATACAAGTGTTTGGACGGGGGCAGTTCATGCACGGGGGTCCTGAGCTACACTAATATGGTCATGAGGATCGTCCTTGACTGCCGGCAAGTTCCCAGTGTTGACGTACATGCTCCCAGACTCTTCAATATGCTGAACAGTGTATCCCCACTAGCGTACATATATTCTCTCTCTCTCTCTCTCTCTCTCTATACCACGGCCGGTTTCGTAACTTGCTTGTTTATGGTTCAATAAACGTTTCACTGGTGCCTGTAATCTTCCTTACCCTAACTTTACCAAATTTAAATTACAATAAAAAAAACTGAGTTTATACAGAAACTGACGTTGTGAACATCGCCAGAATATGAGCGTCGTTAAAGAACTGGTTGAACAATAGTTGTGAACCTACAAAACAACTTGTCCAGTAACGGACCTTGTATTTTTTTTCTGATAACACTCGTGTTTTTATCGCTAGAGACATATCCAGCTTCTCTCTGTTGTAACCATCTACCCTATGTTAACTCTTGTTGTTACTGTTACCTGTTATGTTTATCCCTGTTGTTACTGTCACCTGTCATGTTAATCCCTGTTGTTACTGTCACCTGTCATGTTAATCCCTGTTGTTACTGTCACCTGTCATGTTAATCCCTGTTGTTACTGTCACCTGTCATGTTAATCCCTGTTGTTACTGTCACCTGTCATGTTAATCCCTGTTGTTACTGTCACCTGTCATGTTTATCCCTGTTACTGTCACCTGTCATGTTTATCCCTGTTGTTACTGTCACTTGTCATGCTTGTCTACCTGGAGGGCATCCCCCGCGGCCTGGTCCACGACCAGGCCTCCCGGTGGATCAGGGCCTGATCAACGAGGCTGTTACTGCTGGCCGCACGCAGTCCAACGTACGAACCACAGCCCGGCTGATCCGACACCGACTTTAGGTATCTGTCCAGCTCCATCTTGAAGACAACCAGGGGTCTACTGGTAATGCCCCTTATGGCTGGTGGGAGGCTGTTGAATAGTCTTGGGCCCCGGACACTTATGGATATAATAATGGTATACAATCCCGACAAGTTGATAGGCAAGACACATGTGCAACAATAAAGTCACAATACCATGACTGGAACAATAAGTCACAGTACATTGGCTGGAACAATAAATCACAATATCGTGGCTGGAACAATAAAAGTCAAAATATCGTGACGGGAACAATTCACCTAAAAACCTGAACTTATGATGGGAACCTCATGACAATGTTTCGCTCCCTCCTGGAACACTGTCAAGACAAGACAAATTCACTACATCTTTCTACAACAAAAACAAATGAAAGGAGTGAAGACGTCTAACAAAAAGTACTTACAGAAACCCAGTGTTCCTGGTGTCGTCGTCTCGGCCTACCGAGCTCCGCCTCCTGGGCAGCGTCTGGGTTTCCAGTAGGCTAGGGTGGGCTGGGGAGTAGGCCTCCAGTAGGCTAGGATGGGCAGAGGTGTAGGCCTCCTGAAGGCTGGGCTGCACCGAGGTGTGACCTACGGGCGCTGACTGAGACCCACACGAGCCTAGAGACTCGCTTCGACTGCCTCTCTTAGCCAGCCGCAGCGACAGTGACTTCTTAAATTTTTGGAACATGCCTTCTGCAAGCAAAACGAAAAAAAAAATTGACATAAAACACGCGTTTCACAAGCAAAAAATGAAACTTTTATATCATGAAAATTCTGAAACGTGTTTTTAAGAACGAAATCAAAATAACTTAAAATTACGAAAAAGAGAGGATGAGAAGAATTAACGGAAAGAGAGAGAGAAAGGTCAAGGAAAAGGGAGGGAGAACTGTAGGAAAGTTTAGGGGAATAGAAAAAGGGAGGGCAAGAGAAAGGGAAACAAAGAGAATGATAAATACAATATATATAAAAATCCAGCCTTGAAGTTAGCCTATTAACACGGTCTCAATGACGCTAGTGGTTCCCCAGCAGCCTGGCGGCTACAATAATATACAAATAACTTTCAAGAGAATTTTCTGGATCTGAGACGGAACAATACTGACCCCCCCTCCAGTCAGTTACTACCATGACGCCCCCCCCCCAGTCAGTTACTACCATGACGCTATGAAAGTTAAGCCACATGTCTGTTTCATGCTATGAACGATGAGTCACATGTCTATGGCTCATGCTGTTATGAAAGATGAGCCACATGTCTATGGTTCATGCTATGGGCGAGGCCTGGTCATGGACCGGGCCTTAGGGCAGTTGACCCCCGAAACACCCTCCAGGTATGAAAGATGAGTCACATGTCTATGGGTCATCCAAGAAAACCGGCAGCTTCATCTACGCTACTCCCGCCCTACTTCAACTAGGCTACGAATACACAAATAACCCGCACATAGAAGAGAGGAGCTTACGACTTTGTAAATGTATGACTTTGTAAATGGTCCAAGTCGGAAAGAAACGTCGTCGTAAGCTCCTCTCTTCTATGTGCGGGTCATTTATGTATCGTTCCAGTCACGGTATTGTGCCTTTTTTTTTTGTTATTTAGGCTACGAATATCTGGAAGCTGCACCAGCAGCTGATGAACATCTAACTATGGTAGTGGCAATACTACTACTATTTCTATTACTAATACTAAAACTACCATTTCTATTATTAATACTACAACTACTAATAAAACTACTAATACTAGAACTATTACTAAAGCTACTAATACTAGAATTACTACTAGTACTGGAACTGCTACTGCTGCCAAAACTACTGATACGAGAATAGGCAAGTAAGTTTACGACACTACCCATTTCCTAACATGCTAGTATCACATAAGTATCATTACAGTACTAGCATAAAATACCGACAAGTATTGCACCGGGTCGTGGGGGCGTTTACCCCCTGAACATCCTGGAAGGTCATTCCTCGTATACACTATTCTTATAATGACATAAAACACATGAGTGAGAAAACTAGGCTCCACTTGTGTTGATCCAAAATAACTGTTCATGCCAATGCTAGGCAGGGCATCGATGCAGTGATCCTAATTTAATTTTCTTATACATAACTTACCTGAAGAAGTAGTGACGGTGGAGGGCATGTGAGGGAGGGACCTAGGTCCTCCCTCCACTCCCTCCTCCACAACCTCCACGGTGGTCACCCCTCCATCCTCCCCTGACGTCACAGACAGCCTACACACTGAATGACTCAGCTTGGCAGCCTCTCGTTCACTGTACACGTGTGACCACGGCCTGATAAGATAAAGAGATAAGATAAAAAGGGATAAGATATGATAAGACCTGATACGATAAGTCTGCATACAAACAATTAATATATGTACGTAAATTATTTACTATCATTTATTGTTTTAATTACTGTAGCAACAGCAGCCGCAGTAATTTTCTTAATTAAACTGGGTACATGAAACTCAGTTGGTAGCATCCACAGCTCGCACCCTGAAGGACCGGTGATCGCTCCCCGGTACGGGTGACACGATGAGCATGTTTGCCATACACCTGCTGTCCCTGTTCACCCAGCAGTAAATAGGTACCAAGGTGTTTGTCAATTATTCTGGATCACAAGACTGACAGTCCCCGATGACGCACGGACTTTATTGGGTTATCCAGGGTTACTAACCCTCTGGGTTAATAGTCCGGATAAAATCCTCCATTTTATCATATCTGTATAATTTGTCGAAGTTAATCCATAAAGATTCATGGGCACGTTTTCTATGAAGGGCTTCTAGTTCTAAAGAAAACGATATCGCACAATCAAGGGATAACTAAAAGATAACAAAAAACATATTTAGGCTTGCAAGTTGATGGCATTTCTTTAATGGGGAAAAGTTAGACTCGTAGAAATACATAAAGTTTGGGTAACTATCAAGGGTTTAAAATACTGCTGGCTAGATCTGCTCGTTTATTAGAGAAGTTATTTGGTTTCTTTACTGTTTTAGTGATTTCATTTGAGTTACTGCAGTCGTCTAATTTCTTTAGTCTTATCGAAGTGACTTGAGCCCAGTATTTGAGCGCCCTTTTCAGGTCTTTCCTTTCCTTTGAACCTGTCAGAGTACATTTCAAGTACATGTACTCTGGCACACTCCTCTTTTTACCTCCATAGATAAACCTCTTTTTCTCCACAGACAATAATAATATATTTATTTACTACAAGTACATGTACAGGCCTAACTTACATCAGTGACATACTACTATATAGAAAGCCGCTTGTTATGCTGAGCATTTCGGGCAACTTAGGTCTGTTTTGTCCCAGGATGCGACCCACACCAGTCGACTAACACCCAGGTACCCATTTTACTGATGGATAAACACAGACAACCGGTGTAAGGAAACACATCAGATGTTTCCACCCCTTCGTCGGGAATCGAACCCGGACCCTCACCGTGTAAAGCGAGAGCTTTTGCCACCAGACCACGGGGCACCGTGCTTCAATACTCTACCTATCTTTTTCTTCCTTCACCTATTCTATGGTTTACCTCGTCTTTCATAGACCCATTAGTCGACACGCTCGCTTCTAAATATCTAAATACACTCATTTCCTTTCATGCTCTTTTCTGCGTTCACTTTCAATTTCCATCTTTACCCACTCTTCAAAAAAGGTCTCTGAAACCCAACGCAGCTCGTAACAAACTACTATCAGTGAATAAACAGAGTACTGAACGGCGACTGTAGCTGTGGTCCTTGCATACAGCAGGTCCAACGCTGTAAGCATTAAGTCACGAAGCTTACAGTGAGGTGATTTTACAACCAGCATAACTGTGACTGGGTTGCATAAGCGGTGCCACTGCGCCCTTACTGTCTTTCATACCCCTAGAAGCTCTCATACTCCTCAAAGTCAGAGAGTCCATAAACCCAAGAGTCCCGGTCTAGTGTTCTGCTTATTCACTGAGTCATAAATGACGACTTAACTTTGGTTTATGGACTACTGGCTTTTAGAGGTGGTATGGGAATAGGCGTACCATGAAAGCTGCTTGGGCTGTGAGATAAGACAGCAGGTGATGCAACCAGGTGATACAACCAAGTCACATTTGTGCTGGTTGTACGTTTCGTGGCTACGTGCTAAGTGGTTACAGCGGTGGGGCTGCTTTATGCATGGACCAGTTCGAGTCGCCGTCCAGTATTATGTTTATTCAAAAGGTCACCCAGCGTCGGCTCTCGGCATCCAGACTCTTTACTGTGTAGGTCATCACATGATTACGTCCCCCCGTCAGAATTTTTTACATTTTCCCCCGATAAACAAATAGCACAGCCTTATTATATTTCATAACAAGGAGTGGGACGTGGATACCTTCTGATGTCCCACTCTGAGTGGCTGAGCGATGCTCTCCTGAAGACTGGGGAGCTGGAGGCCTTCTCTGTCCTGGTGGTCTTGGGGATGCTGGCTCGTCCTCTCCACCACACACCATCCTGCAACACCACAAATAACCACGTCATAATCCACATTATAATGCACGAAGTAGGAGATATTACAATTATTTTGCGGTCTAACTAGAGATCTCTCTTCAGGCAAATAACACTTACATGTTCAAATAAGGTAAATAAAGCCATATAACATAAGAAAGAGGAGCACTGCTCCTGCCTACTTTCTGTACTCGACTGAAGAAGCCTACTGTGTGGGCGAAACGTTTCGGAATAAAGCTGCCTAACAGTTTTCCAGTGGGCAACGGTAAACAATATGATGTTCAATGAGGACAAATTCCAACTACTCCGTTATGGAAAACTGGAGGAGATAATAACTAGAACAGAGTATACTACTGACTCCGGCCATACAATAGAGCGGAAAAATAATGTAAGGGACCTGGGAGTAGTAATGTCTGAGGATCTCACTTTCAAGGATCACAACAGTGCCACGATCGCACGTGCAAAGAAAATGATAGGATGGATAATGAGAACTTTCAAAACGAGAGATGCCAAGCCCATGATGATCCTTTTCAAATCACTTGTTCTCTCTAGGCTGGAATACTGCTGTACATTAACATCTCCATTCAAAGCAGGTGAAATCGCAGATCTAGAGAGTGTACAGAGATCCTTTACTGCACGTATAAGTTCTGTCAAGCACCTTAACACTATGGGAACGCTTGGAAGCACTTGACTTGTACTCGTTGGAACGCAGGAGGGAGAGATATATCATAATCTACACTTGGAAAATCTTGGAAGGAATGGTCCCAAATCTGCACACAGAAATCACTCCCTACGAAAGTAAAAGACTGGGCAGGCGATGTAAAATGCCGCCAATAAAAAGTAGGGGCGCCATTGGTACACTAAGAGAAAACACCATAAGTGTCCGGGGCCCAAAACTGTTCAACAGCCTCCCATCAAGCATTAGGAGAATTGCCAATAAACCCCTGGCTGCCTTCAAGAGAGAGCTGGACAGATACCTAAAGTCAGTGCCGGATCAGCCGGGCTGTGGCTCGTACGTTGGACTGCGTGCGGCCAGCAGTAACAGCCTAGTTGATCAGGCCCTGATCCATCGGGAGGCCTGGTCATGGACCGGGCCGCGGGGGCGTTGATCCCCGGAATAACCTCCAGGTAACCTCCAGGTAACTGTTGCCCATGTGTCTTACCTACCATCCTGTCGGTATTGTATACCATTTTGATATTCACTCTGTCAGACACTGCAACACAATGGCATCATGGTACAGAAGAAGTGAGAATCGTACCCCACATGGAAATCACAAAGGTTACATCGTGTTTTTCAACTTACTTGTACTCTACCTGCAGTCAATTCCGGAGGTCACCCCTGTCCCCCCGGACCAGGCTTTCCTGGTCAATGTAACTGCACTTGCTCGGGGGTCGAATATCGTTTAATAAAAGAAATCAGTTTAATCTTGATGCTCCCTACATGCTGTTTAACCTTCCTGTTCCCTACATGTTGTCTAACCTTGTTGTTCCCTATACGCTGTTTAACTTTGCTATTCCCTACATGCTACCTAACCTTGCTGTTCATTATATGCTGTCTCACCTGCAATCCCAGTCGCACATTACCTGTCTCTCCCCCCCTACACCTACTGTATCTGACTCCCAGCTATCCACTTATCTCAAAATGCCTCCTAGCCTCCTTTCCTCCATTACCCCCCTGAGCACAAGACAGGCTAGCCTAAGAGATGGTAAATCGCACGTAATAGTAACTCCAGCTCTTCTGGAGGGAAACGTTGATAAGCTCTCATGGTTAATTAACCCACAGTGGAGTGGTCAACATTCTCGTTGTGTTGCTGACGTCTCCAGCTCACCATCCCCACGCCCAGAGCAACGCCCACAGCAACGCCCATGATCACGCCTACAGCCACGCCCTCCTCACCAGACTTATCCAGCAAACTATAATGTCGAGACAATTACAGAGTCGGACGTGTTAAATTAGCCAGAGAAAAAAATGAAAATAAGTGTTTTTTCATTCGTAAGTGCGTATGTGTTCTAGCTGCGTCTTCTCTTAGTAACTGGCTTTATCGATTCCTGGTTTCCAAGACCCGATCATACCTACCCCTAAAACTGTTCAGTGTTTTGGCCTAAACTACCTCTTAAACTCATCACCTTAAAAGTGAAAAGAAGACTTGAAGACAGGTTTATGCCTGTATCTTCTGGTTCACTTTCCTCGCGTCTCACTTTCCCTTGTTTAATCCAGCTAGTTCTCTGGGTATCTGGTACGTCATGATCACGTGCCCCCTAGCCCTCTAGCACTGCTCTCACTGCCAATCTTTGGATCTTCACTTTTTTTACTTAGGTGCGTATTCCATGCTTACGTGGATGTACATGCGTGTGTACATGCGCGTGTGGCATGTACATGCGCGTGTGGCGTGTACATGCGCGTGTGGCGTGTACATGTGCGTGTGGCGTGTACATATGAGTTATAAATAACAAAAAGGCACAATACCGTGACTGGAACAATACACAAATAACCCGCACATGGGAGAGAGGAACTTACGACGACATTCCGGTCCGACTTGAACCATTTACAAAGTCACACTAAAATGGTCCAAGTGTGCGGGTTCTTTGTGCATTTGAGTTATAGCCAGCGGTGGTAAGGCGATCAGTACATAAAGTGAACTGACTATGACAGCCTGGCAGACAAGTGCTGGCAGCCTGGCAGACAAGTGCTGGCAGCCTAGCAGACAAGTGCTGCAGCCTGCCAGACAAGTGTTGGCAGCCTGGCAGACAAGTGCTGGCAGCCTGGCAGACAAGTGCTGGCAGCCTAACAGACAAGTGCTGGCAGCCTAGCAGACAAGTGCTGCAGCCTGTCAGACAAGTGTTGCCAGCCTGGCAAACAAGTGCTGGCAGTCTAACAGACAAGTGCGGGCAGCCTGGCAGACAAGTGCTGGCAGCCTGGCAGACAAGTGCTGGCAGCCTAGCAGACAAGTGCTGCAGCCTGTCAGACAAGTGCTGGCAGCCTGGCAGACAAGTGCTGGCAGCCTGGCAGACAAGTGCTGGCAGCCTAGCAGACAAGTGCTGGCAGCCTAGCAGACAAGTGCTGCAGCCTGGCAGACAAGTGTTGGCATCCTGGCAGACAAGTGCTGGCAGCCTGGCAGACAAGTGCTGGCAGCCTAGCAGACAAGTGCTGGCAGCCTGGCAGACAAGTGCTGGCAGCCTGGCAGACAAGCGCTGGCAGCCTGGCAGACAAGTGCTGGCAGCCTGGCAGACAAGTGCTGCAGCCTGGCAGACAAGTATTGGCAGCCTGGCAGACAAGTGCTGGCAGCCTGGCAGACAAGTGCTGGCAGCCTGGCAGAGAAGTGCTGGCAGCCTAGCAGACAAGTGCTGGCAGCCAGGCAGACAAGTGCTGGCAGCTTAGCAGACAAGTGCTGGCAGACTGGTAGACAAGTGCTGCAGCTTGGCAGACAAGTGCTGGCTGCCTGGCATACAAGTGCTGGCAGCCTGGTAGACAAGTGCTGGCAGCCTGGCAGCCTGGCAGACAAGTGCTGGCAGCCTGGCAGACAAGTGCTGGCAGCCTAACAGACAAGTGCTGGCAGCCTGACAGACAAGTGCTGGCAGCCTGGCAGACAAGTGCTGGCAGCCTAGCAGACAAGTGCTGCAGCCTGGCAGACAAGTGCTGGCAGCCTGGCAGACAAGTGCTGGCAGCCTGGCAGACAAGTGCTGGCAGCCTGGCAGACAAGTGCTGGCAGCCTAGCAGACAAGTGCTGGCAGCCTAGCAGACAAGTGCTGCAGCCTGGCAGACAAGTGCTGGCAGCCTGGCAGACAAGTGCTGGCAGCCTGGCAGACAAGTGCTGGCAGCCAAGCAGACAAGTGCTGGCAGCCTGGCAGACAAGTGCTGGCAGCCTGGCAGACAAGCGCTGGCAGCCTGGCAGACAAGTGCTGGCAGCCTGGCAGACAAGTGCTGCAGCCTGGCAGACAAGTGTTGGCAGCCTGGCAGACAAGTGCTGGCAGCCTAGCAGACAAGTGCTGGCAGACAGGTAGACAAGTGCTGCAGCTTGGCAGACAAGTGCTGGCTGCCTGGCATACAAGTGCTGGCAGCCTGGTAGACAAGTGCTGGCAGCCTGGCAGACAAGTGCTGGCAGCCTGGCAGACAAGTGCTGGCAGCCTAACAGACAAGTGCTGGCAGCCTGACAGACAAGTGCTGGCAGCCTAGCAGACAAGTGCTGGCAGCCTGGCAGACAAGTGCTGGCAGCCTATCAGAAAAGTGCTGGCAGCCTGGCAGACAAGTGCTGGCAGACTAGCAGACAAGTGCTGGCAGCCTGGCAGACAAGTGCTGGCAGCCTAGCAGACAAGTGCTGCGGCTTGGCAGACAAGTGCTGGCAGCCTGGCAGACAAGTGCTGGCAGCCTAGCAGACAAGTGCTGGCAGCCTAGCAGACAAGTGCTGGCAGCCTGGCAGACAAGTGCTGGCGGCCTGGTAGACAAGTGCTGCAGCTTGGCAGGCAAGTGCTGGCAGCCTGGCAGACAAGTGCTGGCAGCCTGGCAGACAAGTGCTGGCGGCCTGGTAGACAAGTGCTGCAGCTTGGCAGACAAGTGCTGGCAGCCTGGTAGACAAGTGCTGCAGCTTGGCAGACAAGTGCTGGCAGCCTGGCAGACAAGTGCTGGCAGCCTGGCAGACAAGTGCTGGCAGCCTGGCAGACAAGTGCTGGCAGCCTGGCAGACAAGTGCTGCAGCCTAGCAGACAAGTGCTGGCAGCCTGGCAGACAAGTGCTAGCAGCCTGGCAGACAAGTGCTGGCAGCCTGGCAGACAAGTGCTGGCAGCCTGGCAGACAAGTGCTGGCAGCCTGGCAGACAAGTGCTGGCAGCCTGGCAGACAAGTGCTGGCAGTCTGGCAGACAAGTGCTGGCAGCCTGGCAGACAAGTGCTGGCAGCCTGGCAGACAAGTGCTGGCAGCCTGGCAGACAAGTGCTGGCAGCCTGGCAGACAAGTGCTGGCAGCCTAGCAGACAAGTGCTGGCAGCCTGGCAGACAAGTGCTGGCAGCCTGGCAGACAAGTGCTGGCAGCCTGGCAGACAAGTGCTGGCAGCCTGGCAGACAAGTGCTGGCAGCCTGGCAGACAAGTGCTGGCAGCCTGGCAGACAAGTGCTGGCAGTCTGGCAGACAAGTGCTGGCAGCCTGGCAGACAAGTGCTGGCAGTCTGGCAGACAAGTGCTGGCAGCCTGGCAGACAAGTGCTGGCAGCCTGGCAAACAAGTGCTGGCAGCCTAGCAGACAAGTGCTGGCAGTCTGGCAGACAAGTGCTGGCAGCCTGGCAGACAAGTGCTGGCAGTCTGGCAGACAAGTGCTGGCAGCCTGGCAGACAAGTGCTGGCAGTCTGGCAGACAAGTGCTGGCAGCCTGGCAGACAAGTGCTGGCGGCCTGGCAGACAAGTGCTGGCAGCCTGGCAAGACAAGTGCTGGCAGCCTGGTAGACAAGTGCTGGCAGCCTGGTAGACAAGTGCTGGCAGCCTGGCAGACAAGTGCTGGCGGCCTGGCAGACAAGTGCTGGCAGCCTGGCAGACAAGTGCTGGCAGCCTGGTAGACAAGTGCTGGCAGCCTGGCAGACAAGTGCTGGCAGTCTGGCAGACAAGTGCTGGCAGCCTGGCAGACAAGTGCTGGCAGCCTGGTAGACAAGTGCTGGCAGCCTGGTAGACAAGTGCTGGCAGCCTGGTAGACAAGTGCTGGCAGCCTGGTAGACAAGTGCGGCAGCCTGGCAGACAAGTGCTGCAGCCTGTCAGACAAGTGCTGGCAGCCTGGTAGACAAGTGCTGGCAGCCTGGTAGACAAGTGCTGGCAGCCTGGCAGACAAGTGCTGGCAGCCTGGTAGACAAGTGCTGGCGGCCTGGCAGACAAGTGCTGGCAGCCTGGCAGACAAGTGCTGGCAGCCTGGTAGACAAGTGCTGGCAGTCTGGCAGACAAGTGCTGGCAGCCTGGCAGACAAGTGCTGGCGGCCTGGCAGACAAGTGCTGGCAGCCTGGCAGACAAGTGCTGGCAGCCTGGTAGACAAGTGCTGGCAGCCTGGTAGACAAGTGCTGGCAGCCTGGCAGACAAGTGCTGGCGGCCTGGCAGACAAGTGCTGGCAGCCTGGCAGACAAGTGCTGGCAGCCTGGCAGACAAGTGCTGGCAGCCTGGCAGACAAGTGCTGGGCAGCCTGGTAGACAAGTGCTGGCAGCCTGGCAGACAAGTGCTGGCAGCCTGGCAGACAAGTGCTGGCAGCCTGGCAGACAAGTGCTGGCAGCCTGGCAGACAAGTGCTGGCAGCCTGGCAGACAAGTGCTGGCAGCCTGGTAGACAAGTGCTGGCAGCCTGGTAGACAAGTGCTGGCAGCCTGGCAGACAAGTACTGGCGGCCTGGCAGACAAGTGCTGGCAGCCTGGCAGACAAGTGCTGGCAGCCTGGCAGACAAGTGCTGGCAGCCTGGCAGACAAGTGCTGGCAGCCTGGCAGACAAGTGCTGGCAGCCTGGCAGACAAGTGCTGGCGGCCTGGCAGACAAGTGCTGGCAGCCTGGTAGACAAGTGCTGGCAGCCTGGTAGACAAGTGCTGGCAGCCTGGTAGACAAGTGCTGGCAGCCTGGCAGACAAGTGCTGGCAGCCTGGCAGACAAGTGCTGGCAGCCTGGCAGACAAGTGCTGGCAGCCTGGCAGACAAGTGCTGGCGGCCTGGCAGACAAGTGCTGGCAGCCTGGCAGACAAGTGTTGGCGGCCTGGCAGACAAGTGCTGGCGGCCTGGCAGAGAAGTGCTGGCAGCCTGGCAGACAAGTGCTGGCGGCCTGGCAGACAAGTGCTGGCAGCCTGGCAGACAAGTGCTGGCGGCCTGGCAGACAAGTGCTGGCAGCCTGGCAGACAAGTGCTGGCGGCCTGGCAGACAAGTGCTGGCGGCCTGGCAGACAAGTGCTGGCAGCCTGGCAGACAAGTGCTGGCAGCCTGGCAGACAAGTGCTGGCGGCCTGGCAGACAAGTGCTGGCGGCCTGGCAGACAAGTGCTGGCGGCCTGGCAGACAAGTGCTGGCGGCCTGGCAGACAAGTGCTGGCAGCCTGGCAGACAAGTGCTGGCGGCCTGGCAGACAAGTGCTGGCGGCCTGGCAGACAAGTGCTGGCGGCCTGGCAGACAAGTGCTGGCAGCCTGGCAGACAAGTGCTGGCAGCCTGGCAGACAAGTGCTGGCAGTCTGGCAGACAAGTGCTGCACCCTGGCAGACAAGTGCTGGCAGCCTGGCAGACAAGTGCTGGCAGCCTGGCAGACAAGTGCTGGCAGCCT